GTCAGACACGCAAGTGTTTCTGGAGCACAGAAGACTTGGAGAATGAAGACAGCGTGTGGCGCAGAAGCTCCAGGGGCCTCATGTATAAAACTTTACGTAGATTTCATCCTAAATGTGTGCGTACGCACAAAAGCTAGATTTTGCGTATGTACAAAAGTTTTCAGATTTATAAAGCCATGCGTATGCCAGAACCTGCGCAAAATTCCCTTTGTAATACCCAGTCAGCGGAAGATCGTGCGTACACGAATATCCTCCCCGAAATAGCCATTTATGGAAAGAGACAGGCCTTATTTTTTTGCAGTGTAAATAGCTGTCCGACTCACTGCGTCAATAACAAAACATTTTGAAAATAAAATCACGGATATCTTACGGTTTCCTTCAAATTCTGTCTTTTAATATGGTGTTTGTCACAATATTGGGAAGAGCACGAAAGGGGTTATCATTAGGCTACTGTCTGTGCGCAACACCTGTGAACAGAGGTTCTACTGTCATCAGACCAATGGACTGTTTGATCAATGGGCGCATCCTTTCCATAAGCTCCAACCGTCTATGTTCCAAAGCCATCAGACAAAGTCAAGTTCACAAAAATTCTCAGAACATGAGTTTTGCCATTTAGAACACAATTTAAAGTGGAATTGTCATGCACCAAGCAATCTTCGCTGTGATTAAAACATTAAATTGCATACCACAGGAAAATTGTTCGAAAGCAGCACATCCACTGCAAAAATTTCGGTTTAAATTCATATAAAAATGAAATAATATTTCTGGAAAATATTCCATAATTAGTAGTCTTGTCCATAACTAATATAGTCTTAACTTCATTATTCAGAGTGTCATATTTAATCTAAATGTGTGTGTCAAATGTAAAACAGACTTTAAAATCATTGTTTGCTTACTTCTCTCGCCCTCGGGTAAAAGAGTGTGTACGCATGGTCTAGAGTGTCCGTACAGTGCGCACATATTTACACCTAGTTTATTTTTTATAAATCCCGATATGTGCATGGAAAATTGCGCACATTTCCATGCCCATTTTGTGCGTATGCAACGTTTATAAATCAGGTCCCAGGTGTTCGGCATAGTTTGTCTGACATTTAAGTTTTGTGGGGGGGTTTTCTACAAACATACTAAAGAAATCAACGCACAGCAGAGAAGTGTCATTTTCAGAATGCCAGCACACTGACTGATATATATTTCTATTATGAATATTCACATTTTAAACACTCTAGGGATCATTTTTGCAGCATCTTCATACTTTGATTTGAATTCTGCACAACTGAACAGAATACAGGAACTGAGCTGTGTGAACTGAGTTTCTAATTTAGGCTGTAGAGCAGGGCTGTCCAAACTCGGTCCTTGAGGGCCGGTGTCCTGCAGAGTTTAGCTCCAACTTGCCTCAACACAATGCCTGGTAAGACCTTGATTAGCTGGTTCAGGTGTGTTTAATTAGGGTTGGAGCTAAACTCTGCAGGACACCGGCCCTCTAATTTAGAAATCACTAAATTATATTACAAAGGGAATCGCTTTCTAATACAGTACAGTCCTGCTAACTCAATGTCAATGAATCAGCTTCCTATTCTGTTCTTCTTGATCAGCAATGTAATACAGCAGAATAAAGACAGCGGGACATAGAGAAAGCACGTGTGTTTACCTGGAGCGTTTGGTTGTGGGGTCGCGCATCACCATACAAGTTTAGCTCCAACCCTAATTAAACACACCTGAACCAGCTAATCAAGGTCTTACCAGGCATTGTGTTGAGGCAAGTTGGAGCTAAACTCTGCAGGACACCGGCCCTCCAGGACCGAGTTTGGAGATCCCTGCTACAGAGGAATGCAAGATTATTATATAAAGACATGTAAAGGAAAATATCAAATCCATGTGAGATGGAAGTGCATATCCATGAGTCTCAGGTGACTGTGAAAGGAAAGAAAGGGGAAATCCAGAGGTGTCCCTTCTGTTCAGAATGTGATCAGATGAGTTCATAACGGTTATATCTGAATCATTTCCAAGATAAACAAGGACAAGCTATGTTATATTATGTAGTACTTTAAGTATACATAATTTATATTTATATGATAAATTATGTATACTTATATTATACAGCTAGATACACATGTACAAAATAACACATATACAATGTCAACAAATCATAAGATTTACAATGCAGCTCTGGCCCTGTATGGCAAGTGGCAGTTCCGATCTCTTTCACACTGGCCCTGAGCCATCCATATTGTTAAGCCTAATATGCAAGTATGTAAAACTCTCAGTCGACTCAATCCAACAAAAAAGCTCACTTTTTAATAAAGAGGCAGGAAATGAACAGATGAGAAAGGAAAAGAAAAACTCTGCGGGAAAGAACTTCATCTGAATGACATCTGTTTCAGTGCACATGCTCTATCCTCACAGTTAACAGAAACCAAACGTTATGAAGCGATACATACCGTCTTGGAGTCTAATTCGTGGTGTGGTTGCGCTAAGACTTGATCTACACTGGAAACATCTGCAAACGTGATGAAGCCAAACCCTCTGTGGAACAAAAACACAAAACACAGTGAAGGTCAGGAGATAACTCCACAGAAGAGGCAGAAAACTTGTGACAGCATACAAAGCCCTCTTGTATATTTGCTGATACACTCAGTGATAGCAGGGGTGTTGCAATCATTATGACACTTCTAGAAATTTCCACTTGTTGAGAGATAATCACAACTTCTCAATGCTTTAGTGTGTCACTGTTACACTTTTTTTTAACACAAATTGTTCTTATGCCCTTGAATAAAGTATAGATATATACTATACATGCATTATACAAACACATGAAACACATACAGTGCACAGGTAGAAAATATACCAGTAATAAACACTGTCCAGAAATATTGGCAGGTCTGGTCAGTCATTTATAGCACATCAGATATTTTTACAGGGGAAGTGAACCTTTAAAGCCCACTAAAAACTAAATTTAAAGATTATTACTATAAATGAAAGAAAATTTAAAAATCTATTATAATTTAAATATTCATATTTGACATGAACTGACAAAATTAAGTTTAAGAAATTCTTCAGCGCCCACTCTTTTCTAAACCAGACTTCTCTCATTTTTAGGCCCTATAGCCCCTTGTGCATGTCTTTTTTTTTCTCAGTGCAAGTGGGTAAAGTTCATGAATAGTGCTTTGAGCACAATTAATTCTGTTAATGTTTTTAGATGAGATTCAGTGGGTTCTTAGCCTGGTTTAAATTGAACAATAGAGGTCAAATGGCATCATTGCTTAGAAGCTCACGCTGACAAAAAGAAAAAGTTTATGGAATAAACTTAAATATTTATGGATTATACATAGTGATAGTATTATTTTTTTCCCCATTTAATGTAATTACAAACACTTCTTATAATTTTTTTTGTTCTACTGCATCTCTTTGAAATGCCAGCGCTACAAATACTCCATCTTTCCAAAAATATGGAATATTGCTAAAAAAAAAATACTAAGAAGATAAACCAATATAAAATTGATTTATAAATCTCATCATTTTATATTATTTTCAGTACTCGACCACTTTAATAAACAATATCACAAAAAAAAAAATTTATATACATATATAAACAAAGTTTTGATGCGACTTCTATAGAGTCAGATATTAGCAATACATCCAAATATATTTTTATATTTTATATAGATATAAAAATATCTGTATTTGCTACGAAATATAATTACTCTCATGCTTTGTCTTTACATGTTTCAAAATATAACTAGAGGGATTATATGGTTTGTGGTCTTATTAGGGTCACCTCACCTATATAACTGTCAATTATGTAAAAAAAGACAAAAGACTGAGACATATGGCTATAATATAATGTGTGTGTAGGTAGGTAGGTAGGTAGGTAGGTAGGTAGGTAGATAGATAGATAGATAGATAGATAGATAGATAGATAGATAGATAGATAGATAGATAGATAGATCCTTTCATATATATGAGCTAAAACATTGTCCTTTGTAATATAATTTAGAAATCACTGAATCGCTTTCTAATACAGTACAGTCCTGCTAACTCAATGTCAATGAATCAGCTTCCTATCCTGTTCTTCTTGATCAGCAATGTAATACAGCAGAATAAAGACAGCGGGACATAGAGAAAGCACGTGTGTTTACCTGGAGCGTTTGGTTGTGGGGTCGCGCATCACCATACATTCTCTGATCTCCCCGAATTTACTGAAATAGTCTCTCAGGCTGTCTGAACACAAACACAAGGACACAAGAGGGTTACGCCGTGTCTCCAGTGCAAGAGAGCGACGCGATTAAACCTGCACGCTGCCGTTATAATCAACGAAGGTCGCGCGCGCTTCACACATCGTTGATTATAATGAGAGCGTTAAAGTTGTCTCGTCGCTCGTTTTTAGTGTCAGATGACTGGAAATCACAATAACCTTGTGCGCAGTGACACATACAAACATCACACAGCTCTCAGCCATGGATAAATATAAAACAAAACTCAGAAAAAAGAAGCGATTCGCCTTACCTGGTGAGGTTTGCCAGCTGAGGCCACCGATAAACATTTTACTGTAAGGAGAAAACATGTTATAAGTGACTCCGGATGTCAAAACGGCCATTTTCCGTGTAAATACCTCATAAAGAGCGATAAAGAGCTTGAGCTGTGAACCGGCTGAAATGAGCCGTTAGAAATGACCTGTCATTCAAAACATTAGCAGAACTGAGCGAGAGAAAGGACACGCGCTCGCTCGCGCAGAAAACAGAATCAAACTCCAAACACACAGACGGGTGGGTGGGCGCGCGCGCACTCATCCTGTCTTCTTACCCCGGGTCGTGTTGCGAATCATTCGGGCTTCCAGAGGTGAGTTGACTCGCGTCCGCTTCCATAGCTCAAAGCCCAACCAACTCCAAGCACACGCATACACACACACATACACACAGGAACTGCAGCCCCAGCTCAAGGAATATTACCGAAGCGGGAGCGCTAGCGTCACACGTGTGATCTGCGCGCAGCTCCCGCCCCTCTCAGGAGAGGGCGTGGCTGAAAGCATCAGCCAACCAATCCGGCGGAGATATGCGCCTACCTATCAAAGGAAGCCACGCCTTCTGTTGGTTGGCAGTGTTTGACAGGAACAACGAGAGTATATTCAGCTCTTCAGTAAGCTCTTTAAACCCTATTAAGTTTACATTCGAGCCACCTTCTGAATAAATACAACCAAAAGGCCTTTTGAAATAGGAAATGCATGTTTAAAACTAAAATTAAGCACTGTAATTCAAAACACTGAAATAAAATCTAGTTTTTCTTTGTGGCACAAGCGTATTCTGTCTTGTATCATTGTAGTTTGACTTATTATTAGTGGCATCCCCACAAAATCAGTCGTTAGTGAAAGTAAGATATAAGAAGATAGATTACTTAGTAAGATATATTATAAATGATCAGGTTTATTTGGATTTCGATTGTCTTGAAAGTTGGAAAGTACACAGTATTATCATTAACGAAAACTAAAACCAAACCAAAAAAACTTTTATTACTTGAAATAAAATGAACATAACTTAAACTTATTTTAATTCAGTTGACAGAATAACTGTACCAAAATATCTCAAACTAACTTAACTAAAATAACTAAAAGCTAATACAAAAAAACCTATATAACCATATGTGAAAAAAATAAGAAAAACAAACAACAAAATGGCTAAAACTTTAACTAAAATGAAAATAGAATAAAATATAATTCAAGGTATTAACAAAAAAGATATAATAGTATACCAATGATACTAAAAGATCACTGGAGTTTATTGTATGAAACACTTGGAATGCTTGTTTTTCTCATATGATATGGACTTTCCAGTGATTTCTATTGTTTTTTTACTTAATAATATTGTTTATCCATAAACATAACACTAAGGCATATTTTGATATGTTAATTGTCCTGTGGTGGGTGCCGAAAAACTTGCTGACACCCCCACACACCCAGGCAATGTATTTCAGAGCCTTTTTCTGCTTTGCTGAGTGGGCATGCAGAATGGATAGATCAGTGTTAGTGTGACATCTGCTGACGTAATTGATATGGAGTTTTGTTTTTTAGCATAATTCAGTAGCTATGATTTATTTGTGTGATTTTTTACAAAATGTACAAAGAATAATAACACTGTATGTATGCATTACAAAACAGCACATAAAGCATTTTTAATCATAAACAGGCCAATGTTTTACCTGGCAAAGGAGTGATATTGTCCAACAGAACCTCTGCTGCCTGGAATGGCAACATTACAAAGTCTGACCTGTGAAAACAATCTTCAAATATCAGATTGAACTCGTTCCAAAACAATTACAGATAAATAATCAAACCAAACTTAAGCCACCTGACCTGATCTGCCTGAGGGTGGCGCTGTTCACAGTGTCATAACCTCCATTATCTACATATCTGATATGAGCAATTCCAGACTCTCTGTAATACTGGATGACCTGGGCTCTCTGCCAGCCACTTCCTGTTACCGGAGCAGCACAGACCACCCCCACTGACAGAGACAGACAGAAAACAGACAGACTTCCTCAAACTAGATGACAACAAGAAATCCTAATTATTTTGAGAGATGACCACATTGCCTCCATGAAACCTAATTATAATTTGTCTTGCAAAGTTTGCGCAAAATTTTGTAACATTTAGGACATATACTATCAGAGATGGTGTCTTTCTGTGTGTGTGTGTGTGTGTGTGTGTGTATATATATACAGTGGGTACGGAAAGTATTCAGACCCCCTTAAATTTTTCACTCTTTGTTATATTGCAGCCATTTGCTAAAATCATTTAAGTTCATTTTTTTTCCTCATTAATGTACACACAGCACCCCATATTGACAGAAAAACACAGAATTGTTGACATTTTTGCAGATTTATTAAAAAAGAAAAACTGAAATATCACATGGTCCTAAATATTCAGACCCTTTGCTAACGTCTGTAAATGTGTGTGTGTGTATGTATGTGTATATATATATATATATATATATATATATATACACATACATACACACACACACATTTACAGACGTTCAAAAGTTTGGGGTCAGTACATTTTTTTTTTTTAAAGAAACTAATACTTCTATTCAGTAAAGATGAATTTAATTGATCAAAAGTGAAAGTAAAGACATTTTTAAATATTATTGAAGATTTTTATTTCAAAATTGATTTCTATATTATGCCAACACAGTAATAAATTACATTTTAAAACAAATATTTTTTTATTGTAATATTTCACCATATTACTGTTTTTATTTTATTACAGTCTTGTTTTGTCAAATAAATGCAGCCTTAGTGAGCATAGGAAATTTTACCACTTTGAATAAATACTGTGTAAAAAAAAAAACATCCTAGGATCCACTTCATGAAGTTGATTGCTACAGTACATACTTAAAATTGGGTTATTCTTATTTCACAGTGTTGTAACTTTACTAGTATTCTAAAATATGGGAAATGGAAACAATAAATAAATTAAAAGTACTTTTTAAAGGCATGCCAATAAAGCTGTGCTGATTCTAAAAGAGAGAGAAAGAGCAAATTAAGACAATTATGGAGGATTAAAGCAAAACCATAAAACGCTATGTTAAAGACAGATGTTGTGTTGTTCCTATCAAAAGCATTTGCTAAATGAATACATGTGAATATAAAACATACTCTCCACACTGAGATCTATGTGTGTAAGTAAAGGTCTATATACCTTCGACAGGGGTGGGCAGGCTGGGACATCCTGGCTGAGAGTAGCAGAGCTGCATGTGCTGTATAAGTGTGGGAAGGGCCTGATAAGATGGATGCTTGTGCTGCTGAACAAACAGATGATGACCAGCCTCTACCCGTGAGACGATCACCTCCACAAACACATCCTGAGGCAGCAGCAGCTACAGAGACAACAGATCAACACTCAGCTTTTAAAACAATGGCTACTCTCACATTCAGGCATGCATTAAATTGGCACCTCAAGACATCACATCAGGATATTTAATGTCATCCAAATAGAATCAAAGTCGGCATGATGTTTAGGCCCGTCACGATAACAACTTTTTGTTGTGCGATATATTGCCCCAGAAATAATTGCGATAAGCGATATTATTGTAATTTTAAAGACCATTTTATGCCACTGAATATATAATCATAATGTAACAGCATAATAATGCAAGAAGGCCTACACACTTCCAAATGACAAACTTTTAATTTTTAAGAATATTTAGATCATGGAAATTAAGTATCAAAATATTAGATACCTTAAAAAACCTGAATAAATAGTAAATAAACATTTTCTAACAAAAAGTGCAAAGTAGAAAAAAAAGAAAAATGCACAAAGAACTTGTATGGAGATTTTATCATCTACAGATTTTTCCCAGACCTTCTTTCTCTGTAAATTAAGGGTGCACGCTATTGCTGAAAAACACAATCACTACTCAGCAGTCAGATGTCCGCATGCACAAAGGGACAGATCCCTAAACAAGACCATATCTGCAGATGAAACGTTTGAACTAGCACCAACTACACCACGTTATGTACGAGAAGCTGCAAAAGACACAGGCACAAGTGGAATGTACAAAACATGGTGACATTAATTTTTAAGTAAATATAACGGGCGATATATTGCGTCACCAAAAATTGAGGTCATGTACATATATTGCGCGATAAGTCAATATATTGATTATTGCGACAGGCCTAACGATGTTTCTTAAAACACCAATTTTCCACTTAAATTTAGGTTTGTTCCTCACACAAAGCTATTGCACAATTTGAGAAAACTTGAAATTTAAGTCATGAGTCATGATGCTTCGTGTTCTAAAGAAGAAAGCAAGTCATATGAATTTGGAATGAGTTAATATATGATATGATTTTAAGGGTCCTCACCCAGGAAGTGATGGGCAGGAAGGGCAGAGGAACACAGTTAGTCAGATCTAGATCTTTGAACTTCTTCCTGATGAGTGTGAGAGCATCATCCACCTGCTGCTGTGAGCCTGGATGAACAAACACAGACATGAACTCAGCGCTGGGCTTCTGCATGGAGTGAGGTACCCATCATCATCATCATGGGAAAACTCACCCTGGATGTGGCAGATTTGAATCTCCTGAGTGAACGGCAGGGTGGAGACATAGATCTTTGCTCCAGAGCTCTGCTTCAGGAAGTTCATGAACTTCCCCTCCTTCCCGATCAATCGACCAACCAGATGCTGCAAAGACAGGTCTTGATTTAAATCTTCAAAGGACAACAAGTCTTTCTGTCTCTTATTGAAGACATGTCACTCTTCTTCTTATACCAGCGAAACAAACCTCAACACGCACACACAAAGTATGCAGGCCTCTATATGCCCTGTAACTTGAGCTTTTCTGTAGTCTAATACGTCAAGATCATGTATCTTTTCTGCTGTGGTGCATCTCTGAACACATTCATACAGTCTTTTAATGGGCAAATGTTCAAACAATATCCGTATGTGGGTGTGTCTGTGGGCGGGGCTCACCGCTGGCACCTCTATGTCCCAGAGAATGATGGGTGGGGCTGGAGGTGGGGCCAAGCTGCTCACCTGAGCGTCGGCACTAATGCAGCTTTTAACATCTGAACCTGGAGACGAGATCCATGTAAATGTCACACATAGACATTTTTACTGCTTTGTGACTGATGCATATGAAGTCCCACTTTATATAGATACCATAAAATAATGCATAGGCCTACAAAAAATTCAAAAGCCAATTAATTCATTTCAATAATTTTCATAATTCAACAGGAGGATAACTGCATGAGTTTGGAAAATAATTGTTTCATGCACCTCTCAAGGCCTCCTCCTCTTCCTCGGTCACTCCGAGCATGCTGGGAGTCATTTTGCTCTCAATGCTGACTGTGTCTGCTTCTGTGGGGGTCATCAAAAACCCTTGGCCCTCCTTAGACAACTCTCTGGTGAGCCTTTCTACACCGGATGCATCGTCTGAAAAGCAGGAACCACACCCAGAATCATCTCCAACAGAAGCTCCTAAATGGCTGAGTAGTTTTTCCCTGAATGAGCCCACGTCCTGAAGGGATACTCTGCTGTCATCATCACCGCTGAATGATTCTTGAGCAGCATATAGAAATCCACTCTGTGGAGGTCTTGAAACACTAGCAAGCTCATGTGGTTCCTGGTTTTTCCAGTCCTCTGCCACTGCGTCTATGACCTGTTGGACCAGAACAGAACTGATCTTCTCCATGTTCTCCAGGTTCAAGCCTCTATCAGGGGAGAGATCAGACAGGCTGCTGCCATCATGACTGTCCAAGCTGACAGGACCTGACTGTTGTTCTGTTAAAGTGTGAGAGTTGATGGGAAGGCGGTTTGAAGACAGACAAACCGGATCAGACTCAAGCCCAGAGTCATCTTCACTAACTTCTCCACATTCTGGATGACCTTCACCAGCAATGTTGTCCTTTTCTTGCTCAGTTAGGAGAGTCTCAGGGAAACGAACAGATACTTCTCCTTCTGGCTCGGGTCGAACTCCCTTGGTGAGGCCTATTTTGGATATGGTGCTGGTAAGATTTTTGATTTCAGAGGATCTTGAGATGCTGTGGTCCATGTTCAGGTCACTGTAAGAGAAGAAAAACAGAAACAGTCCGGTGTTTGTCTTCACTCTGGAAAAAGCTAATCTGTCTGTTTTTTGAATTACTTGGACTGGTCGAGATAAGTTTCAGCATAACTTAGCATAAACCAAGATTTGGAAACATTACTCCCACTGGTAAAAGGATTATTAGGGGTTCTGAAACATTTTTGCTGTCAAGGACTCCCGAATATGAGCCCCTTGCAATGGACCTCCATTCCCACAATAAAAAGACAGCTCTATATTACTATGAATAAAAACCCCATTTACACTGTGTGAGAAAAATATTAAATGTAATATATATATATATATATATATATATATAAGGCAACAAAATTAACTGACAGCATATATACGAGATTATCATTTTCTGTGTTAAAAATATAGCTGTTGTAAAAGTGTGTGTGTAAAACGTGCTACATAAACAAACTGAAGAAAATAATTAAATAAATCACAAATATCATCATTATTTTTCTTTTAAAAAAAGCAGAATAAAAAAGTTACATATTTCATTAATATCTTAAGGGCCCTATGAATACATTTTTATAAAGAATATCTCTTTGGATTTGAGACTTAAGTCTTTGAAACTTTACAGATCTTCTTTATGCACCAAGAGCTTGTAACACTCCAAAGAGAAAGGAAAAGTTTAAATCGCATCATATGACCCCTTTAATGTTTTAATTGTAAAAATTTTGTGGACTCCCTAGCATCATTTACGACCTCCTGTAGGTCAAATTTACAGCTCAGAGAGAAGAATTAATATAAGAAGATATTATCACCTAAAACTGTGGCTAACCAAGTATGCAACCTTTAAACAACAAGACACAACTCATGTATGGTCTGAACTACTGACCTTTCACCCAAAATACTGGAGTCAGCAGGGGAGGAGTGAACAGGGCTGCTGCTGTCCGAACAACACACGTTCTCTTTAGTCCAGAGAGGAGCTGTCGTCCTCCTCCTCCTAAAACTGTACCAGCACCAGCTTAGCAGAGTCAACACAGAGACGGAGATCAGCGGCCTAAATGACAGCAGCATCCTCTTTCCACTGATCCCACTGAGAGAGAGACAGAGATCGAGAGGTCAGCTACATCTAATAAGACCATGCCTAGTCTTCTTGAGTGGCAGCAGACTGTAAGGAGAGATGTCTGAGCTCAGAGGGGGAATGAGCTTTGACACCAACACTTCCGCAATAGAAGACTGAACCAGAGCAATCTCATTAGCAGCTCAAATATCCCAGCAACACATAATCGACACACTGTTAAATACAGCGGTCACCATGACATTCCCCAAACATCTTGATTTCTGGCCACCCATGAGTATCAGTATCAATATATATATATATATATATATTTTTTTTTTTACAGTGTTAACAATTCAACTCAATACGAGGTTGATGTTAAGCTTACATTTATGTGTATGTGGAGAAGAATAAAAAGAGGAATTTCAATATAGCACTAAGTGGGATATCCCAATATAGGTCATAATACAGTAATAAAAACAATATTCAGGATAAAACTAGAACCTTCTAATCCCCAAACAAACCTGTTAACTGTATCGGTGAAAATAAAGCCATGGCAGCAAAGAGAAGTAGCTTTTGCAAAAAAAAACATAAATGTGCCAATAACTCCTCTTGCGTATAGAAGGATACAGAGGAATCCTACTACTAAACTCACTCTTCAAAACTTAGTATATTGTTGAATCAACTGCATTTTTATGGAATTGTAGTTAAATGAGTAGGACTAGTAACATGCAACCATCAAATTCAGAGGAAATATGAATTAAGGTAAGCAGCTGCAGTCTTAATCATTCTGTGATTTTAATAATTTGACAAATGGGTCCCATCTGAGTAATGAGTTTACCTTTATGGGGTCAAAACGTGGTTGAAGTCAATTTTGGTTTTAATGTGAAAACATGCCAAAAACCAAATGATACATTTAACTAATCAACACATGCGCCACCGAACAAACAAATCAGAAAGAGACCCTCATTTTACATAATTTCCCGAGTTTGTGCTCGACATCTTTCTGCTCACCTTGAGGTTCAGCCTCTTCAAAACTTAGTATATTGTTGAATCAACTGCATTTTTATGGAATTGTAGTTAAATGAGTAGGACTAGTAACATGCAACCATCAAATTCAGAGGAAATATGAATTAAGGTAAGCAGCTGCAGTCTTAATCATTCTGTGATTTTAATAATTTGACAAATGGGTCCCATCTGAGTAATGAGTTTACCTTTATGGGGTCAAAACGTGGTTGAAGTCAATTTTGGTTTTAATGTGAAAACATGCCAAAAACCAAATGATACATTTAACTAATCAACACATGCGCCACCGAACAAACAAATCAGAAAGAGACCCTCATTTTACATAATTTCCCGAGTTTGTGCTCGACATCTTTCTGCTCACCTTGAGGTTCAGCAGCGTTGGCGTGTGCGTGACGTCACGGGAGCGCACGTGTGCTCGTGACAGCTATCATTAGCTCAGGTGATGTAAAATTAACTAACAAAATTCAAAACTTGACTATAAACGATGTATTTCAATGCATATGCAAATATATTATTTACAATATTTAGTACAAAATTACGAAAAATAAATAAATACTCTACGACAACCAATCACAGAAACAGAGTGAACAACGCTGAACAGGTAAAAACGGTTTCGATTGGTCTAAAGTGATTGAGAAAGGGTGTGGTCTGTTGGCAAGCGATCTCCCGCTCAAACTGACTGGCGGGAAACGGAGTCGGACTTGAAACACTCGTGAGATTAATGCTGCATCATTAAAAACCAAGGTAAACTTTAATTAACATTTTAATAACATATGTAAACAGAAGAAAAACCTATATGTAATTGTTTTATCCCTATGAATGTGTAACTGCATTTTACACTTCACCCGAGATAGCACCCTTTTAATGTTTGCACCTTTTTACAGTCTATGGTTTGCACACAAGTTATTAATAATTTACCTTTACCATTTAATTAAAAAAAATCCCTGTCAAGATTTATTTGGACAATATACAGGGATTACAAGTATTTACAAAGTACCAACTTATTATTTTGAAATATTGTTTTTACACGTAACATTTTATTTGGGATAAAATAAGTGTATAGATCCATTTACTCATTTACTTTAAAGAAACAGATAAGGAATCTACAGTAGGCTTCAGATGTGATTTATCTAAAGTGTGACCTTTTTACCAGCAAAATCAAAACAAGTTTTAAGACATAAACCACAATGATAAACAAACTGGACAGAAATGGACTTTATTAGTGTTACATCTGTAAATATGAAATCAGATGATAACAATAGTGTACTATAAAGAGGGTCCAGAGAACACAAACGATTTCGAGCTTCAGTGCAACCCTCAATATTTCCTCCATGTTAATTGACATAATGCAGTGAACATGATTGACAGTAATTCATATTTAATGTTGTACATATTCAGTAATTAACTGCTTTACAAAAAGCTAAATAATACAATGTCATAGTCACTTGTATTTACAGTGTAGTAAATATACTTTTCTATTTTTACACAATTTTTTTTACAGAGTTGAAGCTCTCCGCATAAAAAAAAAAGAAACAAAAGAGAACAATTATGTAAAATTTGCATAACCTCAAGTGCCGAAAGAGAAAAAAACTTCACTCTAGTGTTTGAAACATCCAACAATCTCTGCCATTACTAAAGTCCTGTTCAACCCTTGACATTTCTCATGTTAAGACATACCAATATAAAAACGATTAGAACTGAAAAAAATCAAATCGACCCCCACCCCACATACACAGATTTCAACATGTCTAAGAGTAAAAATGGCACCATTGTATATGGGGTAACGATAAAAGATTTCAAGCTTGGATTTCATTTGAGAGGAAAATAAAACAAAGATACAAACATCAGCACACAGGGCATAACATGTACTGTACATGACCAGTAAATAAAACCTGTTGCAGTCCAACAAACTCCAAACTGGATGGTACAGACTTGTGGAACCCAGAATGTTAAAGTTCACAAAGCAAAAGAAACAAAACATGCTGAGAAATAAGGCTCAAGTAGACTTTGAGAAAAGCATGAGAATTGTCCCTAAAAAAGCAAGTTTTTCAATCTCTTTTTGTTCAAGGGGCCATATATCATAGTGAAACCCAATGAGATCTTTGCTGTCTCCCCCCCTTTTTTTTTTATATCTGAATGTTTTTTCAGCTGACTGTTATTTTTCCTGCAAAACTGCTTTTTTTTATACGCCAAATTACATTCAGTCTTAAAACTTTCCCCTCTGATCCAAAACTGACAGATCATAACCACCACAAGAGCTGTAATAGATTGACAAATAACAGCAAATACATTTCAGATAGATCAGGCCAATCAAAATTCAGAAATTCACACAAAGAAATTTGGTAAAGTAAGTGGGGTTTTGGACGGGGATCATAGTTTAGATGGACCAGCAACTTAACTCGTCTCTTACAAATATTTCCTCCTTGTACTATAAAATTGAAAGTCTATTAAAGGTTCATTCTTGCAGCACTGCATTAACGATTGTACATTTTTGTTTTAGGGTACAGCTCACAAATTTTTGCTCATTAGCACTGACTTTCCAGGAAACAAAATCATTCTAAAAAGAAACGACCACAAAAGTAAATAAAATCAAATACATCTGAACAAAAGAATGGCACTTGGTTAATACTTTCATCTATTAAATTTAAGACAGAAATTAGTGCTTTTAAACAATGTCTGTGATTCAAAAGTAAGAAAATAAAATAAAATAAACAAGTTAAAATTCTGTTATGCACAAACAAAACCAAAAACTTATTGGACTTCCTCCCATACTTTGTCAAACAGTGACTGGTTTTAAAAGAGGCGTTCAGTTTATTTTGATTCCTGGTAAACACGGCTGAACAGTTTCAAGAGAACCTAAAGATAACCGTAAATGGTGGGTTTAGCAGAAGTGAAGAGAAACTGCATAAAATGCAGCGCAATATATGTCAGAGCTCCAGCAGGGGCTAAACCCTGCTGTGCTGTAGGTCTCATACAATCTTTTTGATACTAGGTCTTTTAAAGCTGCCGGTGCTGCGTTGTTTCTGGACCTGGCTGGCTGAACCGTGGCGTGTGCGTCCGCTAGCTGCCAGACCCGTGGTGGGGGACAGATCCACCTTCTCTTTATCGATTCCTGCTCAAAGCAAAAACATACATGCATAATTGTACAAAGCTACAAACAAACAAAATGATTTTCTGAAGTGTCACGATATATAGCCTATATTTGAACAGTAATTTAAAGCTTTAAAGTGTAAAAGTTAAAATGAAGAGGGTGGATGACTTTATTCATACTGTATTTTATGCCTTGGATGAGTTATGTATTTTATGTTTTTATTTATTCTTCTGTACAGCACTTTGGTCCACTTTTGTTTTAAAGTGCTTTATAAATAAAGTTGGATTGCTTGATTGATTGATGTAAGAAGTGACATAATCATGCTTGATCTGTGAAAAACAGTTGCTGAAAAACTCACAGTTGTTAGCCAGTAAGAGTGAGAGGCACCTTAAAATAAACAGTCTTATATACTGACCTGGTGCATGCAGGGAGGTGACCAGTGAGGTCATTGAATTAGAGAGGTTGAGGTTGGCAGTGATGCTGAGCTGGCTCTGGACAGGTGGAGGGTATGGTGAGGTGGGTGTCCGCAGACCCTCCTCGCTCGTTTCCTCATCGATGCCGGGCAGATAGGTATCAATCAGTGCATCCAGAAACTTGACAATCAGCTCCGCATAGTCTGGGAACTGAGTTTGCTGTGGAACAGAGAGCAGCTCATGTTTCTGCAGATATTATCTAATCATATCATCTTTATCCTCTCATTAAATGTTCTAATTCTAAAACTGCAGTAAAGTAACTGGATTATGATCAATGTTTTTCTCTGTTGCATTTTGAGAACAAATTCAGTGTCAAATACCTTAGAGAAAGGACCAGCAAACCTCCAGAGTCCATTAAACCCAAAAGCTGTAGAGGTAAGTAAAAGGTAAGTAAAAATGACCACTGACCACATTTTCAGCCACATTCACATCCTCTGATTGGACTGTCACACCCACTCATCAGACTCTGACGTTCACACAGATCAGACTCTCACATCCACGGATCCTGCATTGCTCAAGCAGTGAAGATTATTTTGACTCTGTTCAATCATCAGATTAAACCCCAAGGTTTAGACTCTGACAGCAGTTCTACAGAAGTGTGCGTGTGTGGTAGAGATGTGTGCTGCTTTACTTTGCAGGTAGGATGTTTGGTACTGAGGTGGCGACTCTTCATGATAAACTACACTCTGCACAATTCCATGGACTGGGTTCAAAAGATTTGGGTCCTGACACAGCGACAACAAAGTATTAATCTTTGAGTCCAGGAGGTTGTGACTGAAACAAAAGTCAACATACAACAATGAGAGCCTCATTTCATCATTGTGTGTCAAATGTATTGAAGAGCAGGTGAGCTGCAATTGGACTTACACAACAGGAAAGACCTTTGGGAAGACAACACTGGCCTCAGCTAGAAACTCATACAGGATCCTCTGCTCAAATTCATCCGATGTGTTTTTCACTTGAGTGGCCTGAAAAATCATTGAACAATACAGATGAGTCAAAATTCAGAGGATGGAGGTTTGGATCAGTGTTTAAAGGAAATGGTAGTTGGCAGGGGGGTTTAAAAGGAAATGGCAGAGGAACAGAAAATGATTAAAACATTTTTTTTTTTTTTTACAAATATTTAAATTCTATATGCAAACTTATCTGTGAATGAGGAAGTGAAAAAAGGGTTCGAATTCATTCTGAGAAAGAAAGACATTACCAGCACAGTAAGAAGCAGTGCCTGGATTTTAGGATCGGTGAGAACTTCCTCATTTAGCAGGACATTGGACTCAGACACCGAGACCTTCCGCAGGTGGTGATGTGTCATTCTTGGGGTTTCTTTCAACAGGAAACAAAAAGTTATAAACGGATGCAAACATAGAGAATCATTTCACTTCTTTGTGACACTCACCAATTTCATATTCGTTTTCAGCAACTCTTCTCATCTTGGGCGGGGTTGTGATACCCGATTCCATTTCAGGCCTCTTCGGTGCTTTGCTGTCTGATATCAAGTGGTCAAAGCTTTTTCTGGTGTCTAAGAGAAACATTTTAAGATCATTAAAACTAGGGATGCACGATATTGGATTTTTGCTGATATGGCGATATTTTTCAAATCATTTTGGCTGATAGCCAATGCCGATACACATTTCCTTTTGTTTTGAAACCTTAACACCAAGTCTCTCCTGTGCAGAAATTATAAACAAATTATTTTTAATTTTGGTTAGTTTTGTGCAAAAACTTATTTGTTAGAACTAATACATATTATTAAAGTAATTTTTTTAAAGAGAGTACATAGAAAGCTTTGAAAACAACTACAAGAAAATCAATCTCTGCTGTTTTTTTTGACAGATACAGATGAAACCTGAACATTTTATTTGTGGATTTAACATTAATAGATGGTCTACAGCAAAAGAGCTGTAAAAATCCTAATAATCTTTTAGAGCCCCTTGTTTTGATAATCCATTTGAAAAAAATATTACATATTAATATTAAAATCACAGGTTTGTGATTTTTATTCATGTAAGCTATAGCTTCTGACCTATAAATCAAAACAGACTCATGATTTTATGACATTACAGCTTTATTTATACAAAAACACAAGTAGGTGTATTTTACTTTTCATTTTATTACACGTAGGCCTAGAGCGCACCCCTAAATAAATAAAACACCTTACCGGACGGGCAATAGGGGAGGCTGCCGCACACGCTGCTAACGGTTTACTCTATCATACACTGGATGTCATTCTGTACGTGCATTCTCAAATTAAATGTGGCAATCCAAAACAGTGAATCTAATCACCATTCAGGCAAAAGAATTCAAGAATGACCACACTGCTGACGTGATCTTATCGCTAGCACACCCAGAGCACATGTGAGTTACTCATCTTATCGGCAAGGCATAGCATACATTTTTTCAAATCGGCTGATGCAAATGTTTACATTTTTAGCCTTTATCGGCTGATTCTGATAACATTCCGATAATATCGTGCATCCTTAATTAAAACCACTAATACAAACTAAAGAAATAGTGAAAACCATTACGTTTACAAAAAGTCACAATCTAGGACATTGTTTTCATAAAACAACATGGAGTTACCTAGAAGCTTCTTGGTGTTGACCTGGGAAGGTTGCCCCATGTCCAGGCTCATGGATTTGCGTGTTCGTGGGCTGATCTGCCCCACTATGGGGTACTGGGCCACCAAGTACCGTTCTGAGACTTTTGGGGATGCCCACAGCTGGCTTTCCTGGAGCGTTCTGGATGATAAAGATCATGCTTTATGAACTGGGACGCAAAAGGTTTGTGTTTTACAAAAGATGATAGTATAAATTCACCCTAATCTGCTGTCTAGGTGGTACCTGCAGCTAGGATCTTCATGATGTAGGAAGTACGTATCCATGGGAACATTCTCCATGGTAACATCAGAGAGGAGCAACAACTTCCTGTGTTTCAGGCTGCAGCGGCTACGCACTTCCTCTGACACTGGGAGGAGAGCTATACAAATGAACATACACAAGCGTTACTCACGCTACTGAACCCTAAATAACCAACGTAAAGACACAAACCAGAGAAGACAGAGGAAAAAAGGGGAGATAGCAGTGGTTTCCTTACCTGCCAGATATGCAACGCTCTGTGTGTTCACCTCAAACTTATCACAGTTCAGGTGTTTTCCAACCAAAGCCAACAGCATGTGCAGGATCCGGATGGTGCGTGCCACTGTGGTGGGAGATGGGTGTCTAAACCCTGCCAAAATCAAACAGAAATGTGATAGTTTCCCAACAAACACACACAATGTTTAAATATTTTTGCATAAAACCCACTCAATACCTTTCAACAGGTGCCCGACCAAAGCAAAATTAAAGTTGGAGTTGAAGTTGAGACCAACAAAATGGTCCATCTGTTTACAGTGCCATTCCAGAGGCTGACGAATCTCCATAAAAACCTCCTCAGGACTCTGAGAGATAGACAAGACAAATCCTTTTGCCTTCACTAGGTCACTTTACATTTTTAAGTAGTTGTGTCATTAATGTGAGAATAGCATGCTACAATGTAAACTAAATGTCAACTTCACAAAAATCTTTAATTTTAAGTACTCAATAGCAAACGACTGGTTACCAAAGCTACTGTAAAATTACCTTATCTGGAAGTGTATTTGTCACTCATGATTCATTTATTCTGTAACTGAAGGTGGCCAATAATGGGTGGTTTCCAAGATAGCGTGGGCCTACGTATGTTTGTATATGTGCTGCAATTTGACATATGAGAGAGTGTTATATTAAAACCTTAGCGTTGAAGACTCGCAGACTATCGAGTGTGTGTAGGTTTTGTTCCAGCAGAGCAGTTCCGGCTGAGTACAGATTCACCTCATCCAACTGCAGCACGGCCACAGCGACCCAGAATAGTACTTTGTGCATTGGTGAGTCCTGAGTGACACCACACAGTTAAACAAGTCACACACACACACATAGTCATATCTAGAAGAACACTGTAATTTGATACCTTGTTGAGCAGAGGCTGTAGTTTAGTGAGGGCAATGACGGTTGCTTCGATCAGCACCTGGCTGTTACAGTTATCAGATCCCTTCAGGCAGCTCTCCAAACCCTAAGAAAAAAAAACACAGTTCTTCTTAAACGACAGAAAAGATTACTGAAAAGCTAGATGGCAACATCTTCACCCAAGACGATCAGAACACACAGCATAGCACATCAAAATTTACTACTTTCCAGAGCAGAGCAATATCAGTACACAATACAGCTTATGGACTGTTCATGCTTCAAAGGAAGACTGACAGTGCAGACAGGTTCTGACCCGGTCGATGCTGAGTAGAGGGCTGGCCTTGCTCAGGATCCGTATGATTTGTTTAATTTGAGTATGTGTGACCTGTTTACTGATGCAACCAAATACCACAAGAGCCCGTGGCTGCAGGGACGGATTGTACTGAAATGCAAACCTGCACATTAAACACACACATACAAGTTCATCATGAATCTGACTTGAACACATACCAGTGAACTCAAACTTTAGTTTATTAGTAAATTATTTCAAAATTCATTTATACAGAGCAGAGTTTACATACTTCTGCGCCAGATCGGTCCACTGGTCCAGCCATTTACAACCTGGAATGTCCCTCATACATGCCTAAACACAAAGGGAAAAACCCAGTCAAGCCATTTAGCACACTTTTACGTACGGCAAACAAAGAAATATATAGAGAAATGAAACAAACAGATGCATTACATTTGAGCTTTATTTTAAGGTCTGAGTATAAAAAGTAAGTGTTTAAAGTAACTAAACAACCGTTTTCTGTGAACACAGCAGTTACTACCAACAGAACTGCTAGCACTTTCTTGAAGAAACACTGCAAAACCAACTTAAGGCAACACGTGAACAATAAATACAAAATGCTGTGCAAAGCAACAAAAATCTGATATTAAATAGCTATATGGAGTGGGGATTTTTGACCAATGACATTCTTTTTGGGTAAGGCTACCCAGTGCAAAGAAGAAATATAAACCAAAGTGCCCGAAAGGCTTTCCCTCAACACTAGTCTACTTAAAGGGGTCATATGATGCGATTTAAATTTTTCCTTTCTCTTTGGAGTAATACAAGCTCTTGGTGCATAAAGAAGATCTGTAAAGTTGCAAAGACTAAAGTCTCAAATCCAAAGAGATATTCTTTATAAAAGTTAAGACTCGTCCACGCCCTTTGACGCAAGCCTCCTTCGTCGAATCCGCCGGGCGCCGCTCACTCAAGCCGCTGTGTGTTTCGTTGTGAAAGTGAAACTACTTTGTTTGGCCTTCCAAAAGAGGACATAATGTTTCTATAAAGTGGGGCAGTTCCAACTTTGCAAGGACAGTCTGGCGCTTCTGACTCACAGTCTGTAAGTACATTTAAAGAATTTGCCACTGATGATTCAAACGCGAGTTTGAGCAGTGTAGAGTAGCGCTTTGTTGTTTGTCATGTCTCCGATCACAAATGCAGACAGGGTTTTATGTTTACGCGGCGCAATACGCAACGCAAAGCGTAAAAACACAGTAGAAGTTATTATAATCAGTAATTATGTCCCCACTGGATGCAACAAATGCCTCGTTTATAATGGGTTTTATTGGTTTTGTCTTGTCGCGCCGGGACACAGTATGGTAAGGGGCGTAACATTTCCGTAACACGCTTGAGGTATTCAGCCAATCAGAGCACACCATGCTTTTCAGAACGATGAGCTTTGTAAAAATCGACACGTTTCAAAAGGCGGGGCATAGAGGAGAAACAATAATGTACATTTTGTGGAAAATTAAATGTTTTTTTTTTTTTTACCTTAAACCGCATAAACACATTGCATTACACCAAATACACCAAATAATGTTCGTTTTAGCAACATCATATGACCCCTTTAAGATGGAAGAAATGTGATTATTCACTTACTGCTTTACCACACCACACCTGCTTATGAAGTATAACATACCTCCATGATCTCCAGCAATGCCTCGGTAACCGTCTCCAGGGATGACAGAGCAAAGGTCTCTCTCTCGTACGAGCCCGGAGAGAACGAACGATCCCTGTAGCTGGAACGAAAGGCGATGACCGCAGCCGATTTGACCTTGCTGATGCCGAACAGCAGATAGAACTTTGGCAGGGAGAACTCTGTCAGACTTAGACGCAACACCTGCTTGGTCTCCTCTGCACAGCAGAAGAACAAGACACTTCAGTTATCAATAAATCACTGATCTATGAAAACATCTAGGGCAAAAATGGCATCTTACCGCTGAAACTCAGCTGGGAGCATGTGCAGAGGGAGTGGATGATGTTGATAACCAGGCCATGCGTGGATGCCCTCAGCGAAAGAGGCCCCGTGGCCACCAGCAGGGTCACAACATGAAAGAGGTAGGGCAAGTGGGCGGCTACATCCAGAGAGTTGTTGAAGGACAGCATGAGCATGTACCTGGCCAGGATAGCGATATCATCCCACATCAGGTGCTGCTCCAATGTCGGTGTGGGTGATAGACACGTCTTATCGATGATTTTACACATTCGAATGATCACCTGTGGATCAGCATGAAGGCAAAATTCAATTCCCATAAAACCCACATTATGGTAAACTAAAATTAAAAATAATAAAACTATTAAAAATCTGCTTCAGTAAATTAAATAAAGCTTACATGAAACAAAATAGAATGGTGAATATAACATATTTAACATTATATAAATAGAAGTTGAAAAACCTAAACTTAGAAATGCTTCCTTGGCAACTAACTGAAATAAGTTGAAGTACTAAAATTACTAAAACTAAAACTGAAAAATAAGGGTACATAGGAAAAACAAAACTGATACAAAATGACAAAAGCATGAAATTACTAAAATAAAATTAAAATAAATCTGAAAATAGAAAATTTGAAATAAATGAATAAATAGTATAATAAATAAACAATACTAAAATATATAAGAATGTATCTATAAATATAAAACATTTATATATAATAAAATATATAAAAATGTATATAAATAATACTAAAATAACAAATGGAGAGTGCGATACATAAAGGAATTAAATTTTAAAATTAAAAAACATATTTCCTGTTTTCCATTAACATAAAAATTGCTTTTAGGATTGTTCTGCTTGGAAATTAAGAATTTGTTTGAATGAAATATTCAGATGTTAAGTTTGTATGATTCATAGAACCCAGCTGAGCACAATGAACCAACAAAAAGTCCATGACCTGAGCACCATCACTATCTCTCATGACAGAGAGAAACAGAAACAGATAAGGTGGTTAAAGAGAGTAAGAACAACAGCAAGAGAGAGAACGAAACCAACCAAACCACATTTGTGAGTCACAGTGCTTCCATAATTAGAGCTGCTGTTACAGAATCACATCATGTAACATCTTTTGCGTTGTTTTTTCACATGTTCAGAAACATTCTTAAAATTTGGACCTCAGCCTGTTCAAGTTTCTTCTGATCTAAACGTAATGTTAGGAAAAACAGACTTCTAAAAGCTGAACTTACAAAGTGTGTGTGTGTATAAACGTCACCTTGCTAGACACCAGTTTGACGTTACCAGATGCCAAAGCCACTGCTGTGTCTGCCATCACTTCAGCTTTGATGGATCCGAGACCTCCTGTTGCACTGGTTTTAATAAAACTGTCCAGAACTACATCAAGTAGATCTGTTATCTGCAGACACAGGAAGCTACCATCAGCTCAACATAGACATGCATGTGTCACATAAGTCAAGTCACCTTTATTTATATAGCGCTTTATACAATACAGATTGTGCAGCTTTACAGTGCAAAATACATTTCAGTTCTGTTACCTGTCCCAGGCTTCCCCAGATCTTAGCCTGAATGGATGGATACATCTGCTTTTCGTTGATTGTCATGGTAATGAGTTTGTCCAGAATGGCTGTGACTCGTTGACGCCTAGCATCATCGCTGTGCTTGCAGAAGCGTACCAGGTTCAGTAGCCAGGGAGTCATGTACTCCAAACACAGGTGCTTTAGTTCTATACCTGAATATACAGAGGAAAGATATTGGTTACCAGAACACCTCTTAACACCATATTCTTATCTCCAGAGAAAGTATTAACACTCTTAAAAATAAAGGTTCTTTATTGGCATCTATGGTTCCTTGAAGAACCTTTAACATCCACTGAACCTTTCAATTCTTTATAGTGGAAAAAGTTTCTTCAGATTGTTCTTCAAACTAAGAAAAAAATGGCTGTTTTAAGAACTATTGACTGAAAGGTTATTTGAAAAAAAAAATTCTATGGCACTGCTATAAAAACACCATTTTGGAAGCTTTATTTTTAAGTGTGTACTCTTGTAAACAACTGCAAACAGCAAATACACAACCAGTTTGAACATTGGTGGACTAATGATGCCTTCCAGTAGCAGTTTTAAGTAGGAACTTCCTAAGAGGATTGCAAGGCAAAACAATGCGAGTAATGATCTGAAATAGCTGGAGGATCTCAAGGGTCTTTTGAGAGTTTAATTGAGGGCTTAATGGGGCACTAACTGGACTTGCTGAAGCCGGAGATACACTCCTCCAGGAACTCCAGGGTCAGGTGAGGCTCATTAGCTGCTAGAGTCTTGCTAATGGACACAATGAAGAGGGTATTATTGGCAGGGATGCAGAGGCCGGAAGTCTCCAGCAGTTGGCCTTCAATCTTTAGGTTAAAGGTGCATGTTAAGGCACACAGGAGGTTGTAAGCTGCAGACCTTTAAACAAAACAGAGAGACAGAAATATTCAAGAATGTACACACTGGTAAACATCTGACCTCTGTTGATGGATTTAGGATAACTGATCACCTTAAACTTGGGTCAGAGCTGCCCAGGTTGAGGAGGGCAATGTTGAGAAGGGTCCCCGGTACATCTTTGGGCCTAATTTTGGTGTGCTGGGGAATGGAGTCAGGCTGAGAGAGCTCCCAACGTGTACGGATGTGGATAATCGAGTGAACTATGCTCTCACACTCCTGGTGCATGAAGGTTAACGGCGTGCCCTGGTTAGCAATGGTCAGTGTGAACTGATTTTCATCCACTAGGCAGATTTCCTCAATCTCTGAAGCATAGTAGATGTCGTTGAGGAAGACAGACTGACCCAAGACTCGTGTTCTTTCGGCTGAGGTCACCTGTACTGCTGTACTGCCCACCTGGAGAAAAGACAGAATCAAACATATTGAGACAAATCAAAAAAAGTGAAACCGAGCTGTAAGAAGAGGTATTCATCCTTCGTCACACACCTTAATGGACACTTTGGTGTCTTTGTGGGCCAGTTTTAGGGCATTATGAAAGACCTTCAGGTCTTCTTCCAGTGCAAGAGTAGCTGCCGGAAGCTTCTGTTGCTCAGGTTCCACATACTCAGCCAGCCGTGCGGGCGAGTCAATGAACAGTAACTTCTTACTGCCCTTGAGGCCCGTCAGCAGTCTCTCATGATATTTGGTGTATTCTCGTACCCATGTGTTACAGTTATAGATGTAGATGGCAGCCACATTCTCGTAAGCAAATCCTGGAAAGACAACAAACCATTTGGAGAGGAAGTCGGTCTTGAAGCGGTTGCTCGGACCAGCATGCGTCAAGTCCACTACTAGCTCGTAGGGCTTGGCATAGTACGGTTTGAGGGTGAGAAGGACGTGGTATATGAGTAAGTCCCCATTAATCTGTCCTGTCTTGAATCTGTGAGGGAGAGGAAAACAGACAAAATGGAAACAATGGCCTGCAAACCCACCGAATGCTGTTATTATTAGACCAAATTTTCAATGGTCATAAAAGCTTAAAGTGCCCCTATTATGGATTTTTGAAAATTGCAGTGTGTAATACAGCTCTAAGCATATTGCCCGCCCACTTGTTGGTCTTTTCTCATGGGTCTGAATGAAAATGCAAATTCATTCTTTGTAACTAGGTGCAGCTTTTGGAGCGGTAAAAATAGCTGTTTCCCCGGTAACGGCTGTAAACAAAGCAGCACTGCTCTCACAAATGCTGCTTTATCAGGCATTACTGGCATGATGAAACGAAAATTAGATCAATCGACCAATCACCGCAGATTAGCGTCACGCAAAGGAGGGGTTTGAAAAAATTAATCGTTGAGCGAATCGTTTGGGAGTCGTTGAGAAGTAAGGTAAAAATAATTGCATATTATAAGACAATGAAAGTGTTTTTTGACCTTGCATGCATGTCAGCCTGTTGTTGGGGACTCCCAAAACCAAAATATGAACATTTCATAACCCATAATAGGGGCTAGACTTGTGCCGGTACTCGGTAATGCGATATATCACGGTAATGAATATGCACGATATTGTGCACTTCTAAATACCGTGAATAATTATATATTACAAATTATTCAGAATTTTGAATGCATTTTAAGAATACTATACTAATAAACTGGTCAAAATGCACAACACCGCTGTATGCTGCGTGAAAGACGCGTGCGCACTCTGATGTAAACAAGCGCGGACGAGAAGCACATGGCGGAACATGTGAGAGACGCTCTGGATGAAAGCGCACTTTCACTCTCTGACAGCAGATTGTGCTAAACTGCAGAAATAATAATAATAATAATAATTCATTTAAATGCAGCCGTTCCCCCGGAAACCCTGTAAACAAAGCAGCTGCACTACTTTCTGCTTCTGAATCATTTAAATGATTTAAACAGCCATTCAGATTTGTGTATTTGCTATGATGTTCATCACAGAGCCAAATACTTAAATATTTAGACTTAATAGGCTATTTATTTTCAAGCTTATTTTACATTTTAATCTGGACTACAACATGCCCTAGATATTGTTTGAAAGTGTTTTGATTCTTTATTGTTCGGTCACACTTTACATTAGGGCTTCATTAGTTAACAAACTGCCAATTAAAAATTCTTCTGAACATTCATTAATCTTAGGTATCCCAATATTTAATAACAGGATGTTAAAATCGAGAGTTGCAGCTGTGTTATTTAATGAGCTAACATGAACTAAGACTTGTATTTTTTAAACAAAGATTAATAACTTCTGTAGCAAATGTAGCTATTGCTCATTGTGAATGTTAATGCATTAACTAAGGTTAACTAATGAGGTCTTATTGTAAAGTGATACCTATTGGTCTTTATAGTTCTTTTGAACTTTAATCTGTGTAAAACTTAACTTTATAAATTTTTCTGTATTGCTTTATTGCATTTAAATGTTCAGTTATTTTTGTTATAAGAAAAAAGTTATAAAACCTGTTATACTTGTATGTTAAGCCTGTTATGACAGCACTTTTTTTTAAACTTAATTTCAATATCGTGATAATACCGTATACTGTAATAAAAGCATTAGCAATTAATCGCAACATGAAAACTTGATACCGGCATATCCCTAATGGGGCACTTTAAAGGATATAAAAACAGACTAAATGTCAATACAGGCTGAAATCATGGGTGAATTGCCCATGACATGCACTGCTTACACATGCTTTACAAAAAAATGTGCTGTCTAATGAGGTCTTTGCACATATTACTAGCCTTAAATAAATATGACAAAAAACACACAATGACTTTAGCCACACAGTGGTTAATGTGCATGTCTAATATAAGAGCCCAAACAGAAGTGAAAGAACAGACAGGAAACTCATCGCTGGTTAATGACTGTTTGCACCGGCAGCTTCAGCTTTAAAATTACTTCTCAAAAAAGGCTCTAGTGCTCAAATTTACAGCGTGCATACACTCACGCATACAGTCATTCGCAGCTCTTCAGATAACAGACTCTCAGAACAAACCAGCAACAGACCGAAAAGGTAAGAAACCATTTATTTTATTTTGTTATTATTTTAAGCTCCTCAATTTCATTTAAGTAATTAAAAAAAAAAAAGTGACAAAGGTATATAAATTGTGATAAATGGTATATAAATTAAGGTACATAAAATTATATATAATTACTAACATACTAAGTTTCATGCACACTGTGGATATATTAAAAATGAAAGAAAATGTGTCAATTTAAGTGATATATTGCATTAAATCTGAAATATCCTGCTCGGTAGAAATGAACTCAATAGAAATAGGACAGGGGCAGGGACATTCATTTGATTTTAAAGATAAATTTGTAGAAAAATGGTATGTAAATAATGGCTTATAACTTTACATTTTTTAACAGAGAGTAAAATAACAAAACTTCTTATTTCTCTTGTGTCTTGCAGAACCATGATAAGTCCCAGAACAGTTTATTTTGTATACTTTGCATTGCTCTTCGGAACGCCACCTGCTAAAGCCACAAATAAGAACACAACACCAGTCCCATCAGTGACTAAAAGAACAGAAGACACAACTATGATAAATGACAAAAATGGCACACCACCAACATCCAACATTAACAGACTGACCACCGAACTTAACTCTGCAGCGACAACAAATAAACAATACGTCTGCACTCAGGCCACTACTAAACCCAAGGAAGGACACTGTGTTTTCTTTCTACCAACTGGTATAGATAACCTGCAACTGATTGTGGTTGCTCTCACAGTGGGCTGCTTGGCATTGTTGCTGACCACACTGATATGTGCCTGCCAGGTTTGTCACCTGAGAGGAATTGTCTCTAGTCTCCAGCATCGTTACGACAACATTGACCCACATGCCGTAAGAGAGAAGAGTAAATCGCCATGCAGGGATGAAGGCCAAGTGGACGGGCAGCAAACTGAGACCTGCCTTCTGCTATCAGAGGTCACCACAGCACAAGAGGAGAGTAGAGAGGATGAGAAAACCAAGACTGAGCCCTGCACTGAGCCGCCTGTGAAGGACACAAACGAAGACGTCACCCAAGAGAACAATCTTGAGCCTGATGCAAAAGCACCAGAGAGCTCCGACACAGGGGTGTAATCACGATCAGACACTTAACAAATGGGTGTCACACAACTCCCCCTGGTGGCATTTAAAGTCTGCACCTGCTTAAGCTTTAACCGTTATCTACTGCATAAGACTCAGGAAGAAGGTCTGAAATCTGAATGTATAAAATGATATATAAACAAAAGCACTGAAAATACTGCAAATAAGCCTTTGTCACTCTCAACATTGTTTTTCTTCATTTAGCCTATAACAATATTGTATGGCCATGTTTCAAATGTGTGCATTTATGTTGTCTGTATTTTAAATAATGTACCTGTATTTTGTTCACAATGCAAAAAAATCCTTAAACATCCTTAAATGAGATATATGTATTTGAAAATCAAAAGCATGTATGATAAGACTATTTTTAGGGAGTATATCTATTTATTGATTTAATTTTTTTATGCTTAAAAGAACAAAAAACTATATGCCAAATATGGTAAGAATTTTTTTTATGAATTATAATGATTTTCTCTGAAAACAATCAGATTCATCCAATTTTACGAGTAAGCTTATCTTGTTTTAAGGATGTTCAAATAGTTTTAGTAAAAAAAAAAAAACCATGACAAAAAAAAATTGAAAATGACTGTCTGCAATTTTGTGTTTTTGAAGAATAAAACCATTTTTTGTCTTTATTCCAAACCTTCAAAATATACAAGACTTGGTGTTTCTCATCTGAATCAAAAACTTAATGTAAAATTTAGATAAATTAAATCCACACCATTTCATTTTGTAGCATAACACCACCATGAGAAAATACATAATTTTACAGCTACTACACCCACGTTTCTGCTATTCATTCACATTTAACACATGATCACGTGATCTACTGCATTATATTCTCAGCATGTTATAAATAGAAAAGCAAACCATCCAGGTTAGTTGATAAAAGGATCGCCTCCTCTGACTTTATCATTCTTCCACTTTGTGAAGAGAGACAGAGGAACAGCCTAGAAATGGTAAGACACATTTTGCCAAAGAAACTTTGTTTGAGTGTAATTTGGTTAAAAATTCCAGTTAGAAAACTTTGTAAGCAGCACTGAAGTCAAACACCACTGGGAAGGATTTAAGATTGAATAACCTTTTAAGAAGAAAAATTAATGTGACCATTATACTCTATAAATATAATGCTGGAATATTTATAGTTCTTCAATTATGTATTTCTGACTGGCTAAAAACACACTGTTGGTTGGAATAAATAAATAAATAAATAATATTTAAAATATGCATACATAATAAATAACTTGAACAGGTTGTAGATAGTTCAACTGTAATGTGAATGGACAAAGTTATTGTATATGTACTATATTAAAAGGACAATCTCCTGAAGAAACAATATTTTATATGAAAAATAAATGCTGTTTAATATCTATAAGGTTATTATAAGGTTCAATTTTATGTCTGTTTTGTTCTCTCTCTATAGCCATAAATATCAAATATTACACACGGAGCTACTTAGACCTTGTTTGTTCTTTTATCTGTTGGCCATTTTGCTGTCACTGAGCATCTCTTCGACCACAAACTCGGATCCCACCAATGCAGAAAAACTTCAGTGGAAGGGTGGAGATGGTGTGAAAAGGTCACGAGTGAGAAGGCAGAACTTCCACATACAACATGCATTACATTTACCAGAAAAGGCTTATGCTTACTATATGTTATGGAGACTTCTGAACGAAATGTACAACGATACAAACATCATCAAACCATTAATGATGAGACCAGACAAACTGGAATTTACAACACCAGAAGGGCCAAAGTACATGGAGATCGAGGTGAAACCATCTTCAGCTCGCATACAGGAACAAAGTACTCATTCCACTGGTATGACTGGTACAAAGAACTCTACAGTAATGCCATCCTTCCCTACTGACTCGTTACCAGACTCACAGAAAACAACTCAATTAGAAGATTTACAACTAGTGGGACAATCAGCTCAACACTTTCAGACCACAATACAGAAAATTATAGAACCCAGCCAAGTTACAGAGCAACACATCCCTGATTCCACAACATTCACTATCAAAATCTCCTCCAAAGCAGCAGAAGCACCTTCTTCAATTACCATACATGAACAAATCGACAACTTCACTGCTAATGGCATAAATAACTCCACTGCTATGGCATCCTTACCCACTCACTCATCATTACCAGACTCACAGAAAACAACTCAATTAGAAGATTTACAACTAGTGGGACAATCAACTCAGCGACTCCAGACCTCAATACAGAAAATTACAGATTTTAATCAAGCTATAGAGCAACATATTCCTGATTCCACAAGATTTCAAATTCCCACCACTGCATCAGAAGAACCTTCTACAATTGCCATACATGAACAAATCGACCACTTCACTGGCATTAATAGTATAAATAACTCTACAGCTATGGCATCCTTAACCAATCACTCATCATTACCAGACTCACAGGAAACAACTCAATCAGGAGATTCACAACTAGCTGAAGAATCAACTCAACGACTCTAGAACAAAACACAGAAAATTCCTTCCATACATGAACTAATCGACAACTTCACTGGTAGTAATGGTACAAATAACTCTACAGCTATGGTGTCTCTCCCCACTCAATCATCATTTCCAGACTCACAGCAAACAACTCAATCAGGAAATTCACAACTTGCTGAACAATCAGCTCAACACTTCCAGACCACAATACAGAAAATTATAGAACCCAGTGAAGTTACAGAGCAACACATCCCTGATTCCACAACATTCACTATCAAAATCTCCTCCAAAGCAGCAGAAGAACCTTCTTCAATTACCATACATGAACAAATCGACCACTTCACTGGCATTAACAGTATAAATAACTCCACTGCTATGGCGTCCTTCCCCACTCACTCATCATTACCAGACCCACAGGAACCAACTCAATCAGAAGATTCACAACTAGCCGAGGAATCAACTCAACGACTCCAGACCAAAATACAGAAAATTCCTTCCATACACGAACAAATCGACAACTTCACTGCTAATGGCATAAATAACTCTACAGCTATGGTGTCTCTCCCCACTCAATCATTACCAGACCCACAGGAACCAACTCAATCAGGAGATTCACAACTAGCTGAAAAATCAACTCAATGACTCCAGAACAAAACACAGAAAATTCCTTCCATACATGAAAAAATCGACAACTTCACCGGTAGTAATGGCACAAATAACTCTACAGCTATGGTGTCTCTCCCCACTCAATCATCATTTCCAGACTCACAGCCAACAACTCAATCAGGAAATTCACAACTTGCTGAACAATCAGCTCAACACTTCCAGACCACAATACAGAAAATGATAGAACCCAGTGAAGTTACAGAGCAACACATCCCTGATTCCACAACATTCACTATCAAAATCTCCTCCAAAGCAGCAGAAGAACCTTCTTCAATTACCATACATGAACAAATCAACAACTTCACTGCTAATGGCATAAATAACTCCACTGCTATGACGTCCTTACCCACTCACTCATCATTACCAGACTCACAGAAAACAACTCAATTAGAAGATTTACAACTAGTGGGACAATCAACTCAGCGACTCCAGACCTCAATACAGAAAATTACAGATTTTAATCGACAACTTCAGTGCTAACGGCATAAATAACTCTACAGCTATGGCATCCGATGTGGAAAAACCAACGCAAAGCATGAGTGGGCGCAAACCAAGTTTGACAACTCGTTCAGCTACAACTGGATTGCACGTGTCAAAAACACAAACTGTTTCACAAAAACCCAAGACATTTATTTTACCAACACACAAATCAGCTAATACTGCAGAAGAAGATGACACGAAAACCCGCAGAGATATTTTTGGATTACTCTTCACTTTTGGGTGCCTTATGTTGCTGATAATAGTAATCTTGCTTCGGGTAGTCTGGAGAAGATGGCAAGCCCGGCACTGGAGGAATGACATGTGGGTAGCAGGTCCTCCTCTCCTGTGGGGAACATATCATTCAGTCTGGCAGAACAGCAGTTCACACACTGCAATACAGATGAGGAAAGAGAACAGCCAAAAGAAAAAGCAGGAAAATAGTGATGTTTCTGAGACTATTGCTCTCAAGCAACAACACAAAGACCTTGTATAAACATGAGGATGTCAGGGACTCACGGGACTCTATAATACTTACCCTCGACATGACAGCTTTTTTAACTAAACAAATTCTATAGACTTCTCAGTGAGTCACAAACTTCCAGACAACATCTCCGTGTCTTGCATATGCAAACACTTAACTTTACATGAACAAATGAGTGTTAATATTACATTATATGTTGAGATTATGTGATTGTACTTTTAAAGGTCACTGCAGTGTGTTTTTAAAAATTGTTTTAATAAAAAAGCTATTTTGACCTGTATTTTAAGTAATATTAATCAGATTCACTACAAAAACTTGAAATTCATTTACTTTATTATATACAATGGAAAATTGATTACATGTCAAAAGACTATACGTTATGTAGCAATGACCATCTTCTCTTACCAAAGACCTCCAGCAGACTTTTCACTTTTTCCTCTGACTTTTCCTTTTGTATGGCTCACACACAAAAACATCAAAAAACACTGATCCACTAAAACACATGCCACAGAATCTTTCAAAATGGAGTGGGGATTTGTGTTACTAGACAGCACATGTAAAATAAGAACTGAGTGCAGATGGATTTAGTTAAACTGTCTATGCCATTTCTGCTTGACACACACAAACACAAATATACAGCATCATACACTCACACACACAGAGCAAAGCTACATTAGTAGGCAGAGAATGTTTCATTACTGGGCAGCATTAGCAGGCTCTGAAAGAATGAAGCGATTGAGGAAGAAAAAGGGAGAGGAAGAGAGAGAGAGAGTGATGGAGAGTAGCACTGAAAAGTTTCTGTACCAGCGGTCTTTTGTTCAAAACGCGCACACACACACACACACACACCTGCCTGGGCAAGAACATGATGGTGAGGAACTTTAAATAAGTTACCAAAAAGCGTGCTAGGAATTATACTACACTAAGAATAAAGAATTGCTTCATTATTAGTGTTTTAAATTAAAACACTGGATTTTACAGTATGTGCTGACTGTGTGGGAGAATCTGTGAGGAATTGATTAAAATGGTAAAATGTGCTAAACGGAGATGACAGCACTCTTACTGATAGCTGTCAACATAATCAGAATAATAATTATTTTATCAAATTACAACTTTTCTGAAATCACCAGAAAATTTCTGCAAGATCAGAAATTGTGTTAATTTTAGAATTTCTCCCAGTTGGAATTTCATCAGACTCCATCCCAGTAATCTAAAACAGTTTCAGACCTGAATTACAGGTTAAGTGTTGCTTGATGACTGAAGAAAGAATGAAAACAGGAAGGAGAGGGAGGGGGAGATCGCAGAAAAGAAAGCAGAGGAAATTGATGCTGAATGAGGGAATCCTAAAGAAGAAACAGAGATGTCAGCACTTCCTCTCTCTCTCTCTATTTTTCTTGTACCAGGGCATAGACTCTACTACATCTCCCCTCCCTGCCTCTCTCTCTCCCCTCTGCCATCATAGTGATCCCAGAAAGGGACATGCACAGAGAAAGACGGGATTTGGATTTTACTGCAGCATAAAGCGAGAATAGCATTAAAAAAAAAGAGATCAGAGCGGTGCTAATCTGGAGATCAAGCAGAAAAAAAGAGGTGAGAGATGGAGAGAAACTGAAAGACAGAAAGAGGACAGGAAAAAGGAGCATAGAGTGATGACAAGGAGAAGGTAAGTAATTCACAATGCAGCAAGGTTGACCTGAGGAAAGATTAGACTCACAATCACATTTTCATGTAATGTGGCATGATATGAACAAGCATCTAAGCACGTTATATATAAAAGCTGTTTTTTGTAAGCACATGCTTAGAGTCGAGCAGATCTAGGTGCAGGCAGATCTGCAGAGCCACTGCATGAAGACCTTCACAGCTCTGCTGTACGTTTGCATGTGTAAAACTGTTTCTCAAAACTCATGCTAATGCTTTGACTAGCTTCAAAACTGCAAACAAAAGAGGCAAAACTCATACATACATACATACATACATACACATTAAACTTTTACATTGACTTTTTAAAACCAATACCAACGATTATATAAGACCCACGGTAATCACTCCCTAAAATTTTATTTATTATCATCATCAACCATAATCATTTAAATTATTTACTATATTCAGATTCACTAAAGTTCAGACTCATCGTCATTATGTGGCATCAGACATAGGGATGCTCCGATCCGCCTTTTTCGCCTCCGATACCGATTCCGATACCTAGGGTTCGGTATTGGCCGATACAGATACCGATCTGATACCAGTGAAGTTTTTTTCCCTCATTTAAATAAATGTATAATTTATATATCTCTGTGTGTGGAACTGATAATCATTCTTTCACATTCTACTAGATACAGACTACTTCATTATAAAGAAAAAATTAAAAAACAAATATGAAAAAATATAGGCCTATGTATATTTATAATCTATGACAAAAAATTATAAACTAGGTTAGTGGATAATTCGGCAGCAAAAGTTATTCTAGACAAATCAGTGCACAATAATTTTAGAAATCCAAACATTTAGTGAAAAAAACAATATTTTGGGTGGAACAAATAAAAGTGTTGCACTAAATATGGTAAAATGTTACACATTGCTATTTGTATTATTATAAAATAATAATGTATTTATATATACACGTTTATACTATAAAATTAAAATACATTTATTTTAAATGTATAGCATATTTTTTAATAAGGCAACAACATATGATAGATACGATAGGACAAAACAAATACAGTGCAGCAC